TAAGAGACTTTTGATTGATTAAAAGTGGCACAAAGGATTGTTTATACTAGGTACGTACATGTCTACTTCGTTGTAAGTAGTATCATGTTTAGGTACCAAAAGGGAAAGAACTTAGTTTCATGTCTAGAGAACTCTTGAATGGAAATTGTTTGTTTAAACATTGAATTAATTCATGTGCTTATGTTTATGAGACATGTTTTGGTGAATTGGATGTTTATATGAAATTATGGATGCAAACATGTTGAATGGGATTATTAATTATTTGTATGGAATGTTGATACAAGCATGTGTTTATTGGATTGGTTTGTTAACCACATTTGGATTATTGAAGGATTGGAATTGAATGGTTTAAATACAATGAATATATTAATTATTCCATGAGGTTATTATTATTTTATTTATTACTCAAGCATGACTTTTTAGTATGTTGAGTAAAGGTGGATTAAGCCGAAATGGTTAGGTGGGTTGGCTATGTTCAAAATTTTTGGATATCTAGGAAGTTTAATGGAATTAAAGGTCAATTTGTGATGTGACCATAGTTGTCCTAAATAAGATTAAAAGTGAATTATATGTATGGTTATTATGTACGGTTTACTCGAATGAGTCGGCTATTAATTAAACTGTAATCACGTAAAGTGAACACATGGATGAGCAATAAAACTCTGGATATGGTGCACTTCTAGAGTATTGACAATTATGGTTAGGGTACACGATGGTAGCTCGTGGCTTTCCAAGGCTTGTTTGATCAACATGTCCTCTTTTCTTTTGGTATTTACATTTTTATTTTATAATGAAAGTTAAATGGGATCCTGGAATAACTTTGTGAGAATGGAGTCGCGCCCATTCTTGCATCGCGCTACATTTTTATTTTAAATGGTCATTTGGGACCAAAATGATTTGGTGGATTGGACAACCTCGTCTATTGCTTACTCCAAATTAAATTACTTAAATTAAATATAAAGAGTCAAGTGTTTGGAATTGGTAAGTAAGCATGTTGAGTTGATTGAACTATTTAAGTGACGAGTCTTGATTAATGAATTCGTGATGTATGTTTATTTACTTGAATTAGTTGAGCATGTTAAGTTTGTTGCGTTGTAGCTTGTATGTACTCAGCTTTGCTGATTGCATGCTTTTGTGTGTTTTCTTTTGGTCATGGCCTTCGCCTTTGAATGACCCTGTGATGATCCAATTATTACACTTGTATTATTGGGGAGCAGTATTGCACAGATTATCTTGATGATGTAAAGTTCAAGGATTTGGCATACGCATTGTCAAGGAATTAGTGTGATTGAGAGTATTCGTTCTTTGTGTTGAACTTATTTATATTTTGTTATTTCATTTATGATTTAGGTTTTGAATATTGGTTCGGTTTTAAATAAGGGCGTTTATGGTTCCAGTTTGTAAGCTTTGACTTATTGGTTTTCTAAACTTTGTTATTTTAAAGACTTAAGTTTGGTTTTTCCGCTACGATACTTTGATAAAGCCTTAACGTTTTAACACGTGGCGGTAACATGCCAATGGTTCTCCTCTATTTTATTTAAACTAAGTGGTTTGGAGAAGGGAGAACTATTGGGGTGTTACAGCATCGACGTTAAGCTTCAACCGAGAGTAGTGTTTCCCCGGAGAAGTGTACTTCAGCCGCGATTCGCTGGTTCAGGTCAAAGGGGAGGTGCAGTTGCAGGTCGCGGCTGTTGTGGACGGTGGTTGTGACTGATTGGTGGAGTTTGCTGGTGGCTGGTTGGGCGGTAATTGGGGAGCAGCGGTGGTGCTGTTGCTGGTTGCGCAGTTGGGGAGTAGAGGTGCAGGTCGCAGGGGAGGTGCAATTGCAGGTCGAGGCTGTTGTGGACGGTGGTTGTGACTCATTGGTAAAGTTCGTTGGTTGATGGTGGCTGGTTGTGCGGCAGTTGGGGAGCAGCTAGGCAAAAATCAGGATATTTGATATCGTATCCGATCCGAAAATCCGAAATTTTCGGATCGGATAAGTCGGACATCCTATATCTGACTTCTTTAATAAAAACCTAGATCTACTTGTACAATTATCGCAAAACAATTATACATAAAAAAGTCCAAAAATTAGAAATTAAAGTAATTAATTATATAAGTATAAACTACAATTATAAACTAAAATTGCAATAATATCAAATTCTGGAGAGAGAGAATCATTTGGTTGAAGAGGTTAGACCAGAAAATGATGATCGTCGAAAACTAAGCAGACGTAATGATAAAATGTTGCAAAAAACAAAAATCTGGAAACGTAGAAAAGTAGGCTTTAGGATTTTCCGCCATTGAAGGATTCACCATCTTCTTCTTCACCGTTCTTCTACTTTTTCTCTCTCCTCTTCAGCACAGCTTTGGCAATTTGCTCTCTGTTTTTCACCCAATAGGCTGAAATTTGAATATACACCCCTGATTATTTTTTTCGCCCTTTAAAGATTTACCCTCTCAAAATAATTTTGAACTTTTCTCCTTCGTTTACACGTGCTCTTTATTCTCCATCTCTAAGTCGATTGGGTCTCCGAAATTCTGCCCCCAATTTACAAAACCCTAATCGAAATATAAAAAAAAATCGCGGAAAATCAAAACATGCAAATAAACTAAAAGGCTTACCTTTGACTTGAACATCAGGAGATTTCTGAGAAAAGTTCAAATCTCAGGATTTATCAGAACCTGCCGCCACCGTCGTCACCTCTTCAACTTGTGAAACAGACTTATCCTCCGTTCGATGATTATTTTCGAAAATGAAAAAAGAGACAATGTTTAAGAAGAAAGAGGGAATAGAGAGAATAAGGGGGGCGGGCAGCGCTTAGATCTAAAATGAATAAGATGCTGAAGATAAAGAAGGATGGGGGAGAATGAAGGAAGAGGGATGAGAGAGAAATGAGTAGGGGGCGGTATAACCGTATAAGTAGATCTAGGTTTTTATCCGAAAATATTTTAAAATGGTAAAAAAAAGAAGTGTTTTTTCGGATTTCGGATCAGACACCCAATCCGATGTCCGACTTTTTTTTTTGGATATTCGGATATCCGAAATCGGAATTTTTGATATCTGATATCCGAAATTTTCGGAACGGATGCGGATCGGAATTTCGGATTATCAGATAGTTTTGCTCAGCCCTAGGAGCAGCGGTGGTGCTGTTGTTGGTTGGGCAGTTAGGGAGTGTGTTGTGGTTGTGGCGGTGGTTGTGGTGATCGAATTGGGAGATGATATGTTACTTTTTGAATTTGTGTTACTTTTATTTTTTGTTGGATGAAATGGTTAATTAATGTGGATTAGCCAACAAAATACCAATATCAGCCAATTGATGTCTGATATCAGTCAACATTAGGAATATATCAGACATCAATAAAAACGTATCAGCCAACAAAAGGAATATATCAGCCAAAAAAAAAAGGGGGAACATATTAGCCACAAAAAAAACAACAACAAAAGGATCATATCAACCAACAAATGAAACATATCAACTAACAAAAGGAATATATCAGCCAACAAAAGATAAATATAAGCCAACATTAGGAACATATAAGCCAACAAAATAAACATAACAACCAACAAATTGAAACTTATTAGCCAACAAAAGGATAAAATCAACAAACAAAAGCAACATATAAGCCAACAAAATAAACATATCAGCTAACAAAAATGAAACATATAAGCCAACAAATCAAACATATCAGCCAACAAAATAAAGATATAAGAAAACTAAAGAAACATATCAGTCAACTGATGTCTGATAGCAGCCAACAAAAGGAACATATCAAATATTAAAAAAAACATATTAGCTAACAAAATGAATATATCAGGCAACACAAAAATCCTATCAGCCAACAAATGAAACATATCAGCTAACAAGTGAAACAATTTGCGTATGACAGTCTACACCCAATACCTTCTATTTAAATATAGGATTTTTTGTTAGAAACTACCTAATAAAATTGAGATTTTGTAAGAAACTACCTAATAAAAAAAATGTTGTAATAAACTACCTAATAAAAGGTAAAATGTTGTAAAATACTACCTCTGACCGAATTTCCACCATTGACCAAATTCTTCGGCGTTGACCTACCCTAAAACACCCTCGAAACCACCACGAGGGTTGGTTTTTAAGATGGTTAGGCTATTTTCAGGGTGGTTTGAGGATATTTCGAGTTGGTGGGGGTAGTTTCGGACTATAAGATGGTGTTTCCCGTTGTTTAGAGGTGGGTCAACGCTGGAAAATTAGGTCAACGATGGAAACCTAGCCAGAGGTAATTTTTACAACATTTTATCTTTTATTAGGTAGTTTATTATAATTTTTTTTATTAGCTAGTTTTTCATAAACTCTGAATTTTATTAAGTAGTTTCTTACAAAAAAAAATCCGAATATATATACTACATGTTACTATATAGTTTTTTTTACTAAATAATACAATACTTTGCACAAAAAAAGAAATACATAAAATATATATCTCGTTCTAAAAGTTGGTACAAAAATATAATGCACTACAAAGTTAGAAATTACTCCATAAATAACAGATCGCATTAAACCTAACCCAAACTGACTCATCTGACTCAATTAAAGTTGCAAACTATACAAAATCTACATACTCCATAGAGTAGGAGTATAATATATACACGCCAATCTTAATTAAATGTCATTTAGTTATTTACTCTAAAAATTAAAATCGTCGGCACATAACTATTCCATCACCATAAATCACGCCCAAGAAAAAGATACAATTCAATGGATAATCCTTCAAACTAAAACTAAAACCCCACATCATCTTATTTTATGTCAATTTAAGAAAACATTTTAACATGATCTTAGTCCAAAAATTTTAAAGAGTGGGACCCTCTTCATAATACAACCAAAATATTTTCTACATATTTTACCAAATTTAGCTTAGACTCGGTGATTCCCCTTTAATTTTATTTATTTTTTGTATAAAAAATTTGTGACCCCACCATTATTTTCATGCTATCATACATATAAATGCCTATAAATTAAGCACCTTCCGATCATGTTCTTTACATCCTCAACTACAAGCTCTACCTCAAACTTCTAGCGAATTCCATTAAAGTTAAAAAAATTATCACCATTTATTCCCATTTTAATTTATTTAATTTTAAGGTGTATATATATCTATATTGTTACTACCATATTCTTTAGTTTTTGTGTAGTTTACCAAAAAAAAAAAAAAAGTTCTCATTTCTTTTGAGCTCATTTTTTCATACAATTTTGAGCAACAAATTGTCCATAGATATGGCTCCGAGCATAAGCAAGGCAAAAACTGGGACGTCCGATGTAGTTACTAATCACGATGGTTGTGATGGCACGTCTCCGGTTGTTACCTTGAAAGAGTCAAATTTCATGGTGGATGGTCATGTGATATTGTCCAACGTACCATCTAACATCAAGGGGACTACGAAGGCGGGTTTTGGTGGGCTTTTTGTGGGCTTTGATGATTCTGGGCCGGAAGCCCGTCATGTTGTGCCTGTTGGCCAGCTCAAGGATGTTCCTTTCATGAGTATTTTCAGGTTTAAAGTGTGGTGGACCACCCATTGGACCGGGTCCAATGGGCGGGACCTCGAGCACGAGACCCAAATTCTTATCCTTAAGTCGGATGAGGAATTGGGCCGGCCTTATGTTGTGATTCTTCCACTGATTGAGGGCCCATTTAGGGCCTCGCTCCAGCCCGGTTCGGTTGAAGATTATGTAGACGTTTGTGTTGAGAGTGGGTCCACAAAAGTGGTTGACGACTCGTTTGGGGCTGTCCTTTATGTTAGGGCCGGGCCTGACCCATTTAAGTTGGTTAAGGATATGATGAAGGAGGTCCAGGCCCATTTAGGGACATTCAAGCTATTGGAGGAGAAATGTCCACCAGGGATAGTGGACAAGTTTGGATGGTGTACTTGGGATGCATTTTACCTCAAAGTGGAGCCTCAAGGTGTTTGGGAAGGCGTCAAGGGGCTAGTCGAAAATGGCATCCCACCCGGCCTCGTGCTTATAGATGACGGGTGGCAATCTATTTGCCACGACGATGACCCGATCACCGACCAAGAAGGGATAAACCGTACATCGGCCGGGGAGCAAATGCCATGTAGATTGATCAAGTATGAGGAGAATTTCAAATTTAGGGACTATAAGAGTCCAAAGGATAACAACAATTATGATAGGCCCAATATGGGGTTGAAGGCCTTTGTAAAGGATCTTAAGGAGGAGTTCAAGACTGTTGAGAATGTGTATGTATGGCATGCTTTTATGGGCTATTGGGGAGGGGTAAGGCCCAATGTGCCAGGCTTACCAAAGGCCCAAGTTATTGCCCCGAAGCTCTCTCCGGGGCTTGAGATGACAATGGAGGATCTAGCTGTGGATAAAATTGTTAATAATGGTGTTGGGCTGGTCCAGCCTGAATTGGCCCATGAACTTTATGAAGGGTTACATTCTCACCTGGAGGATTGTGGAATTGATGGAGTCAAAGTTGATGTCATCCATGTAAGTTTTCAGTATTTTTTATCCCTTAATTTAATTCCATATTTTATTTTATACAATTATTAATATTTTTACCATGAACTTGACTTTATAGCAATTATATTTGCATGTGTCATATATTGGATACAAGTTACAATTGATTACCATAGAATAAACTGCAAAGAAAAGTTTTTAGAAGAATAATTTAAGGCTATTCACACATCACTATATGTCTATAAAAAAGTTGACATTATATTATTTTGACCAATGACCTTAGCAAATATTTATTAGGCATAAATGAAATGTATTGGAATTGGATAAGCTAGTTATGGCCTGTAATTTTCCTCTTGTCCTAGTCAAGAAATATTCATCTTAAGCAATGGCGAACTACGGAACTAACTTGTTAACAAGCTGTAACCGTCTAATGAGGATAGTACAATAAAACTACCATCATAAATAGCCAATAACAGACACGTGACTTGTATAGTTGTATGCATATCCTACGAAATATATGTATTTGTCTTAAAAGTCTGAAAGTTGAGACGAGTATTGTTTATATTGTCCGAAAAGAGGGGTTGGTAACTTGGTGGTGGACTGCTGGTGGGATATGGAGGCCATGTGCAAATTTTATGACTCATTTTTAGAATGATTTTTTATTTTGTCCAATTAATTTTAGGCAAAATTGGCCTCAACTATATCTTGGGTGCAGCCAACACTCTAAACTTTGACTAGCGGCTAAAACACCATCAACTATTAATTCGGATGCAATGTGTAACATCCATAGGTATTTTTGGACACTTAAACTGAGACATTTTTGGTAAATTGAGAGTAATTGATGGCACGCATTGCACCCAAATCAATAGTTGGTGGTGTTATATCTGCTAATTATAGTTCGGAGTGTTGGTTGCACCCAAGTTATAGTTTAGGGTGTTGATGCCAATTTTGACTTAATTTTATAGTTTATGATGTATTGATGTAATATACTCTTAAAAAATACAACGACCCACCTTTAATATTTAATTTGTACCCACTAATTAGATGTTAACACCCTTCTAACTAAGGTCATCACCTATCAAATTCCCCTATTAACTTGAAAATGATGAGTAGAAAGCAATCATCATTTGTCATTACTTCTTTAAATGACCATTATTTTTGGTTGATTGGTGATGTTGCAGTTGTTGGAGATGATGGCAGAGGACCATGGAGGGAGGGTTGAACTTGCCAAAAAATACTACAAGGCAATAACTGAATCAGTAAAGAAGCATTTCAAAGGCAATGGTGTTATTGCTAGCATGGAGCAATGTAACGATTTCATGCTCCTTGGCACTGAGACCATTTGTCTCGGTCGTGTTGGTACGTTTAAACCTCTTCGTTCTTAGACTTTGTTCCTTTCCCTTAAAAAAAATAAGTTTCCGGACAAACAAATTAGCATAAGTTCAGTTAATGTTTAATAATACAATTAAGGGCTATTAGCTCTCTTTTACAATCATAAGTCGGCCTAAAATAAGTCCAGACCACAAGTTTAACTGTTTAAATAATGGAAAATAAATTGAGATAAGAGAAATTTAAATGAATAGAACATAACATTACTAAACTAAGGAGTTGAGGACCTTTTTAAAATTCTATTTATGATTTAAGCATTTGTATTGACACGTGGTCGTAACTCTTTATGTGGGGTGACGGTATTTAAACAGGGGACGACTTTTGGCCAACTGATCCATATGGTGACATAAATGGTACATATTGGCTTCAAGGCTGTCACATGGTCCATTGTGCGTACAACAGCTTATGGATGGGCAACTTCATACACCCTGACTGGGACATGTTTCAATCAACCCACCCATGTGCCGAGTTTCATGCTGCTTCTCGTGCTATCTCTGGTGGACCAATTTACGTTAGTGATGCCGTTGGCAAGCACAACTTCTCGTTACTCAAGAGGCTTGTCATGCCTGATGGTTCAATCCTTCGTTGCGAGTACTATGCACTTCCTACAAGGGATTGTCTCTTTGTTGATCCTTTGCATGATGGCAAAACAATGCTCAAAATTTGGAACCTCAATAAGGTAGCTAAGCATTTTTCTAGTAACTTTTTTTAAAGTTTACGTGCCAAACTGTTAGACAATTAGCTGAACTCATAGCGATATCCATCTAGGGGTTCTAATTGTTGATTACTTTCTTAAGCTTAACAAAGATTGTGTGTTTACTTATTGCAGTTTAATGGAGTTCTTGGAGTATTTAATTGCCAAGGAGGAGGATGGAACCGCGAATTTAGAAAAAATCAATGTTATTCAGAGTATTCCAAACCTATATCATGTAAGACTGGCCCAAAAGATGTGGAATGGAAAAATGGTCACAAGCCCTTCCCTATTGAAGGAGTGGAATGTTTTGCCATGTACCTTTGCAAGGCACAACAACTAGTCCTCTCAAAGCCATCCGAGACCATTGAAATATCGCTTGATCCCTTCGATTATGAGCTCATTGTAGTCTCTCCGGTGACAATCTTACCTTGGAACTTCGTCGAGCTTGCCCCTATTGGACTTGTAAACATGCTCAACTCCGGAGGAGCAGTTAAGTCCTTTGACATCAGTGAGGAAAATGAGGAGAAGGTGGTTCGAGTTGGTGTGAAAGGGGCTGGAGAAATGAGGGTTTTCGCTTCTGAAAAGCCGAAATCATGTAGAGTCAATGGGGAAGACATGGAGTTTGAATATGAAGAGAACATGGTTAAGGTTCAAGTTCCATGGAATGATGGTTTTTCCACGGTTGAGTACTTATTTTGAGCTTCAACAACTTTCTTAACGTTACTAACTAGTTGATGAGAGTGTAGTATGTGTGTAACTAATTATTTCTAAACTATGAAGTACTTTATTTCTTTTACTTCCATTGCAAGATGATGTACTTGAAAATCACGAGTGATTAATTTTATCGTCACGATCGTAGTTTTCTTGAATAATTATGAAAATGTTTCTTTGATGTTTTTGTGCAATAAGCATTTTGTATTTCACTAGGCGTTTACTTTCTATTAGCTAGATTATAATACCAGTTCACAACCTATATATTTCAGTTTGTGTTGGTAATGAATTTATATGTATTTTTCGCAAAAAAAAGTCTTGTGACAAATATTTATGATATTGCTTCTTGATACTTAAATTTCTCCAAACACATACACGTCTTAATTATTTTTATTTTAAATTCATTACTATTGGTCCACGTCTCCATTATGGGATATCACTTGTGTTAGGAATACGGCAAAGCATCAAGTCAAGCAAAACATTTATTTTGTCAAACATTTTTAACGTGGGTTCTTGACATTATACAAGATATGTATAACATAAGAAATTGACAAGTTTAAGCACATGTCTCCATAATTGCATTCAAAGTCATCAATAACAAATAAATTAAAACATCATTACTATTCTTCCTCTTTAAAACCGTGAAAATTTTCGAACAAAAAATGATAATATCTTCAAGAAAAGGGTGGTAACAAATATATAGTACGGAGTTTTGAAACATGTTTCTTATATGTTCGTTGCCTTATTTGATAGATCTCTTAGAGTAAGAAGATTGATACATGCTACATCTACCCAATGAGTTTATCTACCTTAAACGATGAGCAAACCGTTGAACAATTTTCTTTTGGAGGAAGCATAACAAAAAAAAAAAAAAGGTTCAAACACAAATATTTCAATTTCATTCCCTAAAGCTTTTGGAAATCATTTCAAACTCATCTTTAATCAAAGTTTAAAATTCTTATGTTAAATAAAACCATGAATCAATAGTTGGCAGTAAAGAACCACAGTATAAAGCTGCACAAATGGGAGGGGATTAGGGGAAGGGGGATGTTGGAGAAAAAATTTCTAACTGTGGTTCATCTAAAATAAATTTTTAAGCAATTTTACAACAACGAAATGTGGGTCTACAACAGACTACGACTCTACGAGTATTGAAACTGTGGGTCTATGACAAACTACAAGTACAGAAAATGTTGGTCAACAACAATTATATTTACAGCAAGATCAACTTTCTAGAAGAAAGTCAAAGCTTCATGAATCACCTTAACCCTTGTGATTGAATTCCATGAAGTTCGGCTTCAGATCCTTATGAGCACTCAGGTTGTTGCCAGCTGCCTGATCAGGCATTTGGAACTGCTGCTGCTGCTGCTGCTGCTGCTGTTGTTGCTGCTGCTGGAGTATCTGGGCTTGCTGCTGGAGTATCTGAGCTTGCTGCTGCTGGTTCTGCTGGCCACCAAAGGATGGTGCATTCTGCAAATGTGTCGGGAATTGAGCATACCGCCCCCTGCCAGCAGAAAGGTTGATGCCTGATAGATTTTGCCCAGTTGCTATCCTCAGTCTCTGAACTTCTGCCCTCAATGCTTCATTTAGAGCTGCAGCCAACAAAGACAAAGCAGGGGTAAGGGATGATCAATAAAACTCATAAAACTTGTTTTAATAAATGGTCACAAATTACTAGGTTACATTTAATACCAAAGTGCATATGCAAATACAATTTTGTTTTTATGGAAACAGATATTACCATCTCTCAGTTGCGCCTGTTGCTCCAAAGCCTGCAGACGCAATTTTAGTTCCTTGTTCTCGACATTCAATCCTGAAGTATCTCTCTGCATAAAAAAGACATATAATTAGCCTAGGTGGATTATTACAATAAAAAAAAAGCGCAGAATAAATACTAACAAATCTTCCAAAGGATTTAAGACTTCTTCATAAATCTAAATGCATGTTTCTTAGTACTCCGTAGTTAACTAAGTATTGATTACATGCCATCTAGATTTTGCTGCATGTTTCATAAAATTTAAAACCTAGTTTTAAAGCTAGAGTGCCAAATGGTTCTTCCAAAGAGCCCAAGCTTACTCAAAGGTAAGAAAATTTTGAGTTCCTTTTCAAGATTATAAAAAGGCCATCAGGCCTTTATGCCAACTACGGCTTCATTTTTTGATTGGAAAACATTTTCCAGGAAAAGAATTTTCCATGGGAATTAATTTACAAGGAAAATCATAATTATTAAAATAGTATTCCTTTGTTTATGTCCTTCAGAAATTCTACAGAGGAAATAGATGGGAGGAGAGGAAAAGGACAATGCGAGTGTATGGGAAGAAATAGATGGGAGGATAAGAAAGGGATGTCAGGACTCAGGAGTAGGGAGGGAATTGTAGCATTTTGTCCTTTCAACAGGAAAAGGTTTTCCACTCCACCTTTGGACAATCATTATTCACCCTTACAAACCAAACAACTGAAGCTAGAAAAGGTTTTCCGTCAAAATATACGAAGCCTGCATGTAATGTCCATTAGATCTAGGGCCTCAATCCCACATCACAAATAATTTTGGCCCATGGAGGCTCTGTTTGGTTTGACGAAAAACATTTTCAATGAAACAATAGAGAACATATTTTCAAAGAAAATTCCAATTGCAATTTAGTATTCCTTTGTTTGTTTCCTTACAAGAAAAGTTATATAAAAATAAAAATTGAAATAGGAGCGGAATGGTATGGATGGATGAGAGGGAAGTAAAAAGGAGGTAGGAAAATGTGGCTTCCTTTCTTTTGTAAAGGAAAATGTTTTCCACCATTTAGGGTGTAATTTTCCACCATTTGGAAAATTGTATTTCACCCTTTATAAACCAAACAAAGGAGAATGAGGGAAAATGGGAAAATGATTTTCCATGAAACACTTTACATCAACCAAACACACCCAGGGTTAAACTTTATTACAGGAAACAGGAACACAGAGACAGGAGCAAGTGAAACACAGTTAGGAAAAAAAATCAATAAACATGAGAATAAAAACTGGAATAATGAACTGCTATTTTTTCCAAGAAACCTTAAATCTTTAATCTATCATTCGTAAATTATATAACAAAGGTCTTTTCAAAAAAAAAAATTAATTATATAACAAAGGTATATGAGTTAGTTGACTTAGAATTATTAAAGATTGATACTTAATAGAAAGAAACAATCATACTGAAACCTAGAAAATTGTGAGGGGGAAAATCATTGCTGGTCAAGAAAAGAAGTGGCTTTGCCCTGAGTTGTCAAAGATCATTTATGACAATTTCTATGAGCCAAACAAAGCTATCAAAGATTCGACTGTTCACTTCTTCACCTTTCCCTCTCTATCACCCGGACACCCCCCAACCCACAATAGCCTTTTGCTTTCTGACTAGAAAAAGAAAAGAGTGATGACAAAAACAGAGATATGCCATACAGATATCTATATTTTGGAACTCTCAAGCAAGTACACATTAGCATCACTTCAGCAGGCACACCCCAATCTTTTTAGTTACATTGGACTGAAAGACACCACATTGAAACCCTAAACTAATATACTCCAAGCATCTGTAGCTGTTATTTTATTACAAAATTAAATTCCAGCTTGGGTAATGTTCAACAATTACAAGAAATTTTGAGTTCAGTGTCGCGCAATGATTCAAAAGGTTTTGCCTTTTTCAGTTTTTTTCACTGTATTACTTTTTCATGATAAAAGATTATTTTTGGCTCAAAAAATTCTTAAAAGTAAAAATATAATAGTGGTGTCAAAAACTACATTCGGAGGAGAGTGAAGACTCAAGACTGGAACATGAACTAACATAAGAGATACATCACAGCCCAATAATATTGGACTATGATCTGATTAGGTTGAGGATTGACTAAGAAACAAATCAAATTATAATATCCCCAGCATAAAGCATTTTCTTCAATCCATTCAGCAGGTTGCTGAGGTGATAATCACTTCAAATTTACATATATCCTTAGTTGTTTACAGGGCAGATAAATACAATATAATCTTTCTAGCTCCAACATAACCCGAACAGAAGTGGAGTAAAACGCTAAAACCTAACAAAATAAAATCAAAAATTAAAAAAAAAATCCTGACTTAGAGGCCAAAACTCATAGACTAGCAATAGGTAAGTGACCAGAGCTACCATAAAGACCAAAACTATTCTGTTACATATAAGACTACTTTGAAAGATATTTTGAAACTTTATGAATACTATGGGATTTCTTAAAACATTAGGGTTATCTTAGGAAAACAAAGTTCATAGTTACCATGTAATATATTTCTAAAATCATTACAAAATACTTTGTAAATACTAGTGTAGGTCCAATTAATGTTTCCAATAAATCTGACACAAGCATCTAGACAACTTCTATTAATGAAAAATGTTTAATCCTTTTGACTAGCAACCATACTGTAAATGAAACTACAAAGGCCCTGCTCTCCTGGATACAATCATAATATTCAGTAACAGCCAATCAGAGAAATCATTTTAATAATTTTAATAGGTCAAAATAATTTTACTCAATACGAATTGGTTTTAATCACTGGACAACTCCACAAGTGATAAGCACTTTAGAAGTAGAGAATAGGAAGAAGAAAAAAAAACAGTTTTAATCAGTAAAATCTAACATAAATAGCACCCAAGAAAAAAAGAAAAAAAAAGTCAGTAAAAATAAGTTTTATCAACAAATCATTTCAGCTTGGTAAAATATACCAAATTATATATAGTATCATGCACTGTCTGCATGCCAGTAAATAGCAACAGTGATAAGCCATTGGTAGATAGGATGACAAGATTTCCAAACATTAAAGGTGTTTGATAAATTAGTAATTTAATTTGCATAGGTTTTTGTACAGCTACAAAGTAGTATGCTAATAAATAAAAGTTAATTTATCGAAAAGCATTTCTGATACAAGCAAATGGAGGTCACAAATTGATTTATTCATTTAAAATTCAAATTAGCATATCAACTTGATCAAAATGTTAACCCACATATTAAATGCCATTGAAATGATCAAACAGCAACTCTATTGACGCCACGGAAATGAATTTCGTGGTGACATGCATGGGAGGGATAACATGTCAAACAGAGAGGATTTACACCAACGAAAGAGAACAACACATGAATGCTAAACAGGGAGTGGGATCAAAGAAAAAGAGAACAAGATGATGCACCGTCAAAAGGGATTGAATCATGAAGAAAACCAAACAGAGGTTCATAGTGATTTGTTGTACTTACCTGCATCAATGTAACTTGTGCAGAGAGGGTAGTTGCTTCTGTCTGCAGCGTTTGTACCCTCCTCTCCAACTCACCAGTGTATCTTATTTTTCTTTCCTTCGATCTTGCTGCAGATTGTCTGTTTGCAAGAATCCTGTAAAAAATAATGAGAAGGATCAGGCAAGGGGTCTGATTGACCAAAAAGACAATTTTACACAAAATTACATAGCAATAATTGTTGAATGTGTTCAAAAATGATTCTATATTAATTAGGCCACAGGGAAATCAGTTAGAAAACAATTTGATTATAAAGAAAAAAGAGAACTTATGCCAAAAAGTAGGGACATTAATTAGCAGAAACCTAAGCAAGAGTACGAAGTAAAAATAATAGTTACAATCTGAAACTATAGTCATTCTTTTTCTAATATTATAAGGTATCCTTTTTTTTCATATTAAACAACTATTCCACATCAAAGCATTCGATCCAGCACTACAGCTTTCCGATCACCACAAATATATACTATCACCACCATCTTCTACAGGAGTTCAAATACAGTTAAAATGCATCAGATTAGCCCCTGTAAGCAAAGTAGGGGTGAAAATTTTGGTTTTCGATTTGGATTTGGCTCAAATTCAATCCAATCTGAATTTCCACCAACTCTAGAACAATAAGAATTAAAATTAGGTAATTTGGTTCCAATCCAAAAATCCAAATGAATTTCCACCAACTCTAATCCAATCTGACTTAGAATTAGGTAATTTGGTTCCAATCCAAAAATCCAAATTTATATTATCACTTCACTCTCTTTTTATTTTATTTTATTTTATTATTATGTTGAGCAATGGCCTCTAAACCTTATATTCTACTATAAGAGACTTACAATGTATATACACATTGACCCTAACAAGCCCAAACATTGACCCATAAGCCTTAAACACATCTTTCTTAGCATAACACTGTCTTTAAAAAACATAGTATCAACATTTTTTTAACTTTTAAAGTGGACTAGTTATCCAATCAATAACGGGTAGTTAGGCTATTTTGGATCCAAGATTCCAATTTCCAAACACCCTCAATCCGATCTAATCCAAAAATTCAATCCAATCCATTCCAATCCATTTTAAAAAATAATCCAATCCGAATAAGCAAGATTCAGGTTGGATTGGATTTGACTTTAGATTAAATCCTAATAATTTTCACCCCTAAGCAAAACATAGGTATGTAGGGCAGCTATATTCACCACTGTTCATCACATATCGCTGTGAGCTATATCCACCCACTACCACCATTGTCACCATCATCTGTACACCACAACTATCCCACCACACCTTCCCTTACTACCACCAGCCTCACCCGTATTCCACCAAAATATGAAAATCATCACAATTATAAGAAATAAAGTTAGTATTGGACAACTGAATGAAACAAAAGAATAACACAGATTAAAATACAGATCTATGGATTGTCAGACCTATAAGAGTTTCAAATCAGCAGACAAATAAACTAAAAATTACCACATTTCGCCAGATAACAACACTCACGAGTGAGAAGAGAGAGAAAGGGTGTTTGCCTCCAGATTAGCTGTCACGTTGGAGAAAAGACAGGAAGGGGGCTGGTGGTTGGTAAGGAGATGAGTGAAAAGGAAGAGAGAGAAAGAAGGTTTATTAGGGGATGGTAATATCAAAGAAGGGAGTTATGAGTGAGGGTAGGTGGGGTTAAATAAGGTCATTAGGGAGGTTCAGTTATAAAATAAGGGTAAGGATGTCATTTCTTAGGGTTTTAGCAATAAGGGAAGTGAAACAACTATTTCAAAACAGCCAAAAAAATGGAAGTGGAACAGCCATTAGAGAACAGATAGGGGGTTAGAGTTTCTGGTTGCCACTTAGCTGACACAGAAGGACCTTAAAGGATAAATATACTGTAGAATTTTATTCAGGGAAAAAGTCCCCTTCATCTCACACCCTCAAACAAGATTTGGTAATTAATCAAGGTTAAAAGAATGCTGGCCTGCTTTAGCTACTCTACTTTAAGCACTCCCATAGGATGCTTACCAATTTCTTTGAAAACCACTAACCGGATTTGCATAGAAAGATATTATTTCGATGGATATGTAGCATGTAGTTTTATAATATGTAATATTTTTAAAATTATACTGACAAGTAGTTTAAGATATTCGCAACCAAAGGTGTTTTTTTTAGACCGTGAAAAATTAAATGTGGTTTTTTGTGATGGAGGGAGCATATATATTTAATTATCGGGAATTATTTAATTGCGTAAGATGACCAATATTGGCAAAATAAGTAAATTTGTCTAACTGTGAGCTTATGGGGTAAGCAATAGTCATTATAGTACTCTCTAAATTTCACAATAATCGTAACACTTTTGACCGACACACGTGCCAATGCACAATTTTGACCATTAATATTTGTAATTACTCTCTCTTTTATAAATGCATCACTTGGGATTACAGGAAGTTTTAGGAGTAAATTGTATAACATAATATTGTGAGTGGATGAATAATAAATTATAGTAAAAGTAAAATGGGGATTATGAAAGAGAATATGTGAGAAAGAGTAGATTTTTTTTATTATTTAAGAGGGGACCATAAGAGATAGAAATGAAAAAATAATTCGAATGGGGTCTAGAGTAAGAGAGAGAAATGATAAAATATGTAAAGTTACCAAATATATAAGTGATGCATGTAAAAAAAACACCCATGATAAGGAAGTGAAAAGAAAACGTAGCGAGTATAACATCAAAAAGTATAAAAGCCTCATCTAATGAAAATATACATAAAGACTAATCCAAAACTTTTACATGGCAGTATATATTTTTTATATATTGATAAAAAGTAGAGTGAAAGTAACTATATATGAATAAGTCAAAGTATTGCAATTATTACGAAACGGAAGGCGTAGTTGAAGTCTTTTGATTGACTTGAAGTGAAGGAACAAAGAAGAGGAGATGGAGGAGCAAAAGGAGGATAGGTCACATAGGCTTTACAATATTGATGAAATTTGAGATGCTTTTCTTATTGCCTACTTCTCACCATTATTTCACTTACCTTTTCCCTTTTTTGGAAAATTTGGTGAAATAAATTTTACTACATTATTAAATGGTTTTAATTTATTAGAAAGCCCCATTACTTCCCTTTTTTAAGTAATTAATTTTTTAAAAAAAATTAACTATAAAAAATATTGAAAACAAAATAAATATCAATTTGATAGTAAACAACTAAACATTAATTTAAATAAACTTTAAGTATCTTAATATTTTATTAATATTTCTAGTGGTCATTTAATGTTTGGAGGAAAATTGTTTCAATTATTCTATATTAGTACAATATATATTAAACTCACCATAAATTAAAAAAATTAACACCTAACAATTATTGTGTAAAACGCCTTTATTGGTCCTTTTACCCAACACATGGCTAATACTCCCTCCATCCTTATTTTTTTCCCCCATTGCCAAAGTTTTGACTATAAATTTTCGTTATTTTACAGAAGATAATATAGCCATGTCAAATCTTGTTTGATTCGACTCATTTTATATTAAATTAATATCAAGTTTATATAATTTTTACGCGTATGAAATAGGAGGTATAAACATTTAAAACGTGTCTCGGAAACCGTGAAAAGTCAAATGGAGAAAAATAAAAGGACAGAGGGAGTACTATATATGATCTTATGATTGCTAAACAAGGCTTTAATGTTGATTAGGCCACATACAAATATTGGAAAAAGATAAATGTTTTACTCCTCACTACTTGTTAGATTCAGTTTTTGGTAATTAGAGTTTCACAAGGAAACTTAAGCTTCCAAAGCTTTCCACCGTTCGATTACATTTGTATGTGATTAAAGACCTTTGGATGAACTTTTAAGGAAATTATCTAGATTTAGAATAATACTTGACAGATGTCAAAAGATTTAATTTTATATTCCAAAATCAAGAAGGCCTTTTCTAGGTCATAAGCCCATTATCAGTCTCACATGTATGTGATACACAACCTTTGAAAGACGCTTCTTCGACACTAAGTTGAAAACTATCCTCCTATGGTGTAACACTCTTGTGGGCAAGTCAACTTCCTCCACAACCCCATAATTTTTCCTTAACAAATGTGGTAAACAGCTTATGTGTTACTTCAGTTTTTGTCTGGTAGCTTGTCCTTAAAAGAGTTGGTGGTGCACTGTAATCTCTTCGTTAAAAAAGCCATAAAAGCCTAACCCACACTATCAAAAATACTGCACATCATAACAATAAAGACTGTGGCATCCTAAGCATAAACTTCATTCAACTAAATCCCCACTTTTTATAGGTAAGAATCGATTTGACACGGTAAATCTATCTCCAGCCAAACCAGAAAAACAATGTCATTCCAAAACAAAAAAAAATCTTTTTTCCTTATGGTGGTTTAACCACAAACAACTGAACTGTACGAATAATCAAAATCCAGCAAAGAACTATAATCAAAATGAAAATCATACACATTAAACTCAATATCAGAACATTAAACTCATTATCAGAACATTCAATATCAAACAAGCTTCTTTATCAAGAACCCAATCCCTCATCCTTAACATATATGGTAAAGAATTCATTTAGCTCCCCCAACAACATCCATTCTTGATTCTTTTACCATTCGAGCTCGAACTTCATAACTCCAAACTCTATCCCATTCACTGCCAACTCATTTCATCCTATCCCTTAAATGCATCACTCTTCTGCTTCAGTAAACTTTACCCACATTCTACCACAAATAATACTATGACATCTAATATTAAGGTAATTAAACCACACAATTTTTCGACGAAATTAAGACTCGAATTTCAACCACCAAGAATCAATTAAACGGTTAAACCCAAATTCAACTTAGGATTTATATAATACAACAAAATGACCCAACAATCAAACAAAAACACATAACTAATACAAAAATCGAAGCCAAAAAAATGCAGAAATCAAAACAAGAGGATAGAATCAAACCGTTTAGCGCGCTTAGGGTCAATCAGAGCAAGCTCAGCAAGTCTCTCAGGAGGCATAGCCTTCTTGATTCCATCCACCATCATAGACTCACCTTCAAACATCATCGAACTCGAAGCACCATCCATCGAACTCGTTCTTCGATGCATCCCGACTTTCCTCTCACCATTCCCACCACCCTCACTACTAAACCTCCTATCACCACCGCCGCCGCCACCACCAACACCACCGAACGACAACCCATCAAAGAAATCAGCATCAACAGACAAACTCCGAAGGTGCGGAGCTACAGGGGGCTGGTTAGCAGCCCTAGAAGAGGTAGAAGAAGACCGATTATCGCCGCTTGATTCGTCAGACTTCGACGAATCAACGGCCATCGGAAGAGCACTACCACCAGCAGCAACACCGCCTTGAGGCGAAGGCGGGATGTCTAGAGAAGAGAGGTTGAAATTCTCAATGTCGAAGAGAAAATCATCATCTTCATAGCCGGAAAATCGGAAAGTGGTGTCGGAAAGTGCCCGGCGGTGAAACGGAACACCTCGATGCTGCGGCTGTGTAGTGTCCGATTCGATTTTGGGTAGGTTCGAGTAATTATGAGGGTTCATTACGGCGGCGACAACAACGACGTCGTTTTGTTGTTTGCCGGCGTTAGAACAAAAAATGAAATTGATTATGCTAGTGAAAAGAGGAGGAAGAGAGAATTTAGGAGAGAGAAAGAAAGGGATTGGACTTTTAGAGAGAGAAAGAAAGAAGGGAGTGAAAGAAGGGAGAATTTATATGAAGATGCTACAGCTAATGTGTGTTGTACAAGTGTGATGGAAATGGGAGTAATTATTGGATTAAGGATTATTTAGATACTTAATTAGATGAAGTGTTTAATTATGTCTTTTTTTTTGTTTTTGGTTTTAATTTATGAGGTTACTTTTGGTTTTGAGGAATATTAAGGTCAATGATTCATGATATAAGTTATGGTTTGGTAATTGTCTAGTAGAGTAATAGGTAGTTAGGTATGTACCTTTGTTTTGAAGGATTAAGGAGGAGCATCTAAATTAGGTGTAGTACAGTGTCTTTGTACATGTACTTAAAGTAAGTGAAAAGGATATAATAATGTTGTCGAAAGTTAAGGTAGAAAAGAGAATAGTTGAAAGTGTTGTCTTGGTTACAAAGGTATAGTTAAGGATAAGGTGCAAAGCGAAAGTTAAGTACGATCAGCTGATTGAAATGGTTGTGATCGGTTTGATCAGTGATGTGAAGAGCGAGTGATAAGGGAGAATTAGATGATGAGTCGATGTATATGAATTCTCTTTTTTTTTGTGTGGTGGGAGGATTGCATAAGTCATTCCTTTCTCGAAAACACGATGATTTTATCAGTGCAATTTCAAGCTAAGATTCTTAAAGAGTTAGGAGTAGCGGTTAAAGAATTACATATCTTTCAATTAGAAACCTTAGAATTTGATAGAAGCTTATGTTTTATCATGGAAGTGTGAAAAGGTAGACAAAAATGTCAATAAATTGAAAGATAATTTGCTGGGGCTATTTTTTGACTAGTTAACCAATTTGTACTGATTTAGGAGTTATAATTAGGATATTAAAATTCCTATACGTAATTGATTAACAAGTTTATCGTGTACAAAGACAATATTGGTGGTGATTCTTCTTGATGTTACAAGAGAATTCGAATTGAACAAGAAACTATAGAGCTTGAGGGTAATATGGTGATTGATAATGACGTTCATGCTCCAAAAAAGGATGATGCATGTTCAAACTTCACAAAACATTTTGATTCTAACGAGTACTCCGTATAAGAATGTCATTACTAGATGAAATATTTATAACCATACTAGAATATGAACCAGAGTTGTTACCAGACAACTAGCACAATTATGATTTAGGGTGGACAACATACTCAGATTACACCCTAAACAAAGATAGGTTGAATTTCATAATATATCAAACAATATAATCCCCTTTTTTACAGTGCAAAAGTGAATTAAAGTTGTAAAGAGTATCGACTTATTGAAGTAGAAGCAATTAAATTCTTGATTAATTGGTAAAGAACTAATTAAGTTTGACTTGGATGTTGTTGGAGGTACTAAAAATAACCCTTAGGATTTAGGGTGCCTTTAATTTTTATTGGTCCTATTTATTAAGTGGTCGAACCTGTTCAAAAAGACATGTCCAAAGGTCGAATTATTAAATAATAATCGAAAGGTGGAATTATTAATTTAAAATGGTCGAAAGGTGGGATTATTCCAGTGAATTTTTCCTAACAAAAACAGAGTATTGCGAATTGAAGTAAAACAACGAGAAATATAACACCAACAAAATTAATGAAAATCGCCAAATTAATACTTACATTGATAAACAAAAGCAATATTAATTAAAAATAGAATATTACAAATTGAATTAAAACACCAGGAAAAATAAACAATAACAATGAAATTAATGACAAATTGAATTAAAATTCACATTGATCAACAAACGAATCAAGCAATCCAACACCAGAAGGAAACACAACAATCTTAGGATTACGATCAAAATCTGAAATCGAAGAATACTGCACAATTAGTATTAAAACCTCCGATCGAAGAAAACTCCATGAAAACAACGAAGAATAAGGTTTTTTAATTGAGCGAAGAAATTAGATCGAAAAAAAATTATGATGAGAGAGAAAATTCTCACAAACAACTGAGAAGAGAGAGAAAATAAAGGTTTAGAAATGATATATATATATATATATATATATATATATATATATATATATATATATACGGGAAAGTTCCGCTGAAAACAGAGCTTATGGTGAAAACTAAAAACAAGCAATCTTAATCATTAAATGTTCACTAGATAATCTGATAGTGTGAAACAACCCAGAGGTCACTATATACAAAAATAAGGTAATTATATCAAGTTATATTAATTTTGATGACATTTACACCGAGGTCATTATATATAGAAATAAGATAACTATATTAATTTTTACAATATTTACTTAGAGGTCACTATATAAAAAATAGGGTAATTATATCAATTTTGACCACATTTACATAAAGGTTACTATATACAAAAATAAGGTAACTACATTAATTTTGACCACATTTATATAGAGGTCACTATATATAAAAATAACGAAGGTCACTATATATAAAAATAAGGTAATTATATCAATTTTGACAACATTGACCACATTGAAGTCACTATTTACAAAAATAAGGTAACAGATAACTCATCCTTCTCCCGCTGCTCCTTATCATAAGATAACTTCTGCCGCTCATTAACATATGATGCTTTCTCCTGCTCATTAAAATTTACACTAAGAAAATAATTAGCTATTATTAATTTTGACTAAATCACACTATGAACTACCAAAAATCAATTAACAACTAGAGCAATCAATGTGAGTAATCAATTATCAATGAGAATGAAATCACAGGTTCAAACAAATGAAAATGAATCCAAGATCTTTTGACATGTTATGAGATTGAGATTATACATTAAGACAACCATACACAAATAGTAACAAGACTTGTACCATATTAAAAACACTAAATTAATTACAGAATCCAAACAACAGAAGTATCTAATTACTCTTTTAACCTCACAAAGTACTCACATCTATGACAAAAAAGTATATCAAGGTTTTACTATGTTCAAACATCCTTTTATAGATAATATTACCGGAGATAGTCACACATTAACTATCACACAAAATTCAGCAGTTCACAATTCGAAATATACCATTTATATCATGAAAACAAGGCGAGCAAATTAGTGAGCAAAGATATATCATCAACCAACTTATTGCTGATAAACGAAAGTAGGAAAAATTAACAGACATTGCGACATACATACAAATACACAAAACTACTTCATACTGCAAATAATAGAGACCGAATTAATCAGCAGAAAATAAAAGAATCGGAATAACAAGCTAAAAAACAGAACACATACTGATAAATTTACTGCTTGCATTGCTACAACAGTAGAAAAATTCAGAATCTATAGACCTCCAAATATCAAGTTTAGATTTTCCTCCAATATCCTACATTTCAGAAAACAACAAAATCAAAAAATCAGATCCAAGCAACACTTAAAAATCACAAAATTGAATTCAAATAAACCAAAAATAATATTCGGAAGCCCTAACCGGAACGGAAGAGATCGAAACTCCGACGGAAGCATCGTCAACCTAAACAAAGCGAAAAAAACACAAATTAATCAAAAAAATTGTTGCAATTACAGTGTCAGAGGAGAGAGAAAGCGAAAGAGAGAGAATACCAAAGAGATGGAAGATGAGCTGCGAGAGTGGCCATGGTGAAGGAGGCGAGAAGGACGAGGAGCGAGAAGCGAGAGAGCGAAGAAGCAGAGGAAGAAGACGCCGACGATGGAGGTAACAGCGGGAAGAAATCAGCGAGAAAGGCGGCTGATGCTGGTGTTGCTGTGGTAGAGGTGGTGGTGGCGCCGCCGTCGATTCGCCATGGGCGCCAGAAAAAAGCTGCAACAACACTGAAAAAATCATGAAAGCTGTAGATCTTCTTCTACTTTGATCTCTGTCTCATCTTTCGGCGCTTCCTCTTCAATCTCCTCATACGCTTCTTCTACCACTACAAAAATCAATCAAATCAACAAGTTGAACTTCAAATTAGTTAACAATGGTGGAAAAACTCGACTGAACCGAACAAATCAATGAAATTAAGGAAGAAACTAAAGTTAATCAATTAGTAAAACAGGAAATCGAACTAAATTGAACAAAATCTAACAGAAAATCGCAAAATCGAACAAAATTGATGAAAAAAAGTCGAAAAAATTGATGAGCAAAAGTCGCAAAATCGCACTGAAATTCGAACTAAATTGATCATAACATCAGAATAACGACATAGAAATGAAGCTCAGAAATCCAGCAAAAGGTCGTTACCTGGAGAACGAAGAAATCCCCGAGTAGCAGAAGCTGGAAATGAGAGGAGAGAGAAAGAAAGTTTCTGCTAATATTGAGCTGAGGAGAGAGAGTGGAAGCTTAGAGCACTAGCAATGGTAAGTGTTTTTTTTTGCTCATAAGCATTTTTTGTGAGCAAAAAAATTTGATCACCAACCACAATGGTGAGAAAATGATAAAATCCAAAAAAAAAGCCCATAAATAAAACCAAAAAAGCTCAAAACATGAGCATTTTTATTGATGAACAGTAATTCAAGTGGGCCGTAGTTTTGTCAGACAGAATGGAAAAAATAAGTATATTTGTAGTTGGGTTACTGTTCATCAAAGCAGATTTAAAAAAAAAAAAGAGAGAATCTGACGCGTGACAATGGGTTGGCGAATGGGGCGATGACACGTGGCTTGCGCAGGTTCTAGCCAATCAAAAAATTATAGCCGTTTACAACGGTTATATATTTGTAATTGATTTTCTGAAAAATATATTTTGTACAAAAAAATAAAAAAATTACCAACGGTCATAAAATTAAATTCTCTATAAATAGACATGCATTTTGATATATTTTGATATAATTTCGTAAACACTTTAAATCCTCCACATTTTAATTTTCTTAAAAGTATTTTAAATTTGTAGAAAAATATTGTTGTTGCAATTCACCCATATTGAGGTAACAATTAGTTTTTTTTATTTTTAAATTTTTTTTTCTAATATAATTAGTATATATGTGATTTTAAAATAAAAATAAAAATTGTAGGCCATGTAATTATATTGCAATATGTAATTAAACAAAGTTGTGTATATTTTCTCCATAAATTTCTAAATTTGTAGTTATTAAAGTGTTGCAATTAGTGGTTAATTTTTTTTGCTATACATAAATGTAGTTACGTAATAAAATTAGTATATATGTGATTTTATGGAAAAAAAAAATTATAGGCCACGAAATGAAATTGCATTATGTAATTAAACAAAGTTGTGTATAATTTCTCCATAAATTACTAAATTTGTAGTTTTTAAGGTGTTGCAATTATTGGTTAATTTTTTTTGCTATATATAAATGTAGTTACGTAATAAAATTAGTATATATGCGATTTTTAGGCCACGAAATTATATTGCATTATGTAGTTAAACAAAGTTGTGTATATTTTCTCAATACATTTCTAAATTCATAGTTCTTAAGTGTTGCAAGTATTGGTTAATTAATTTTTTTTTAATATGTACATGTAGTTATGTGTTAAAATTAGTATATATGTTATTTTAATGTAATTGCATTATGCAATTGAAGAAAGTTGTTGATATTTTTGTGGATTTGTTATCATTTTAATTAGTTTTTTGAGTAAGTGTTTGTAACGATATTTATCTTTTGTTTTTTGATGCAGAATCTTTTAATGGATCCAAACAACCCAAATTTTCGTCAACAATTTTCGGGTTTTAGTGATGATTTCCTAACTAATCCCGAGTTTCAATTGTTCTTGCATAAGACACCCACTGAGATTCCCCTACAAAACCCTGCTAATGAAGATCGTACACCTGAAACTGATCTTGGTAGTAACACACTCTTCGATGAGAGCGAAGAGGAAAGCGTACCAAAGACGCCGCAGTATCCTCCTCCAGCAGTTCGCTTGTTGGAACCCAACCAGGTTCCTGCACGAGCTACCCGTATTTGGTCTGTTGCGGAAGATGAAGCTCTGATTGGGTTGTACTTGCAGATTAGCGAGGATGCTATTAAAAGTACAAGCCAAAAAGCAACTAGCCTATGGCGCAATGTACACGCAGCATATCAAACTTTGCATAAGCAGAAGCCGCATATAATTCCGCCAAGGCCTATTAAGAGTCTGACGTCGCACTAGAGAAGGTTGGCAGCGGACACACTGCAATGGATATCTTGCTATGATGAAGCAGGTAGACTTCCGGAGGGAGGGAGTGGTTACAATGAAGCTGATCGTATGAAAAGTGCGGCGAAGCTTTTTCATGTCGCCTAAGGTCGCAATTTCACTTTTCCTCACGCAATTGAAATGCTTAACAAGGATCCAAAGTGGAGACCAAAGCTGAGATGGTCAATGTCATTGAAGGAAAGGAAAGCCGCTTGTGATGCTGAGGAAGAAGGTAGTGCTGGAAGTGGGAAGAGGTCCAGAGATGATGTAGAGGATGAAACCCCTACGGATGGTTTTTCATCTGGCGGTTTACAACGACCCGAGGGTGTCAAGAAAGCAAAGGCGAAGCATAAAGGGAAAGCAGCAGCAACAGAAAGTGGTTCGTCTGAGCTTAGCGAACGAATGAAGGAATTCGCTACAATTCGCGAGAGGGAGGCCATTCTGAAGGAAGAGAGGATCAAAATTGAAAAAGACAAGGAACAGAGGAAAAGAGAGGAACTTGACATTCTTAAGATGAAAACCTGGTTTGATATGGTGCAAGCTATGAAGAATTCGCCTACGCCACTCACTCCTGAAGAAGAGTCGTACAAGAATTTTTTACTGGGTAAATTACAAGGCCTTTAAGCATGTTTGGCTGTAGTCTGTTATTTATCAAGCGCAATTTAGTCTTTTATTTTTAAGTTGTATTAGTGGTGTGGTTAATGCCACGTTTTCCTATATTAACTTTATCATAATGTTTTACCTTTGTGCCATTGATACCGACATTATTGCACTCAAGACTTGTCACTGACACCTAGCATAGTATACCTATTCCGTGGTTGAAAATTTGATTCCTTTACTTGGTGTGGTCATTCAGATTTGTAACCACATATTCATTTGATATTTTCGCTATATATAGTAGGCATGACACATATCCACAACCACACCCATTCATCAAGTAACAATATTAATACGAGATGTATTCTAGACCATCATCAAGCTCAAGTTCAAGCTCATCTTCTTCAAATACTGAAGAATATGATCAACTTTTTGATGAACTCTTCACATACCAAACCTCATCTGTCCTCATGCCCCAAACACAATCCCAACACACTTCAAAAAAACCTAGAGGGGGTACGAAAAGAAGAGATAGGGAAATTGGACATGCCAGGTTGTTTAATGATTACTTTTCCGATAATCCTGTGTACAACACCACCCAATTTAGAAGAAGATTTTGTATGCAACGACCTTTGTTTGTACGTATAATGAACAAGGTCGTTGAAGGTGATGTTTACTTCCAGCAGCGTAGGGATGCAGCTGGAAGGTTAGGTTTATCACCTCTGCAAAAATGTACAGCGGCGATAAGAATGTTAGGCTACGGCATGGCTGCGGACGCCGTGGATGAATACGTTCGGATCAGTGAGTCAACCGCTCGAGTTGCCCTTCAATGTTTTTGTACCGGGGTCATTGATCAGTTCGGAACCGAGTACATGCGAAACCCTACAACTGATGAATTGGCAAGAATACTGCATCAAAATGAACTGCGTGGTTTTCCAGGCATGATAGGCAGCATTGATTGCATGCATTGGGAATGGAAGAACTGTCCAACGGCATGGAAAGCGCAGTACGCCGGTAGGAACAAGAAAGCAACGCTAATACTGGAAGCCGTTGCAGATCAGGATTTATGGATATGGCATTCCTTCTTTGGGATTCCTAGATCTTGTAATGACCTTAATGTCTTATACCGTTCCCCAGTGTTCGATGAGGTTCTGCATGGTCGAGCTCCTCCAGTAAATTTTACCATTAACGGCCATGAATACAACATGGCATATTACTTAGCCGACGGTATTTATCCGAAGTGGGCAACTTTTGTTCAGGGTATCACAACCCCTCAACTTCAAAAAGATAAATTGTTCGCTGACCACCAGGCTGCTGCTCGAAAGGACGTTGAAAGAGCATTCGGTGTTTTGCAAGCTCGATTTGCAATAATACGAAAACCGTCACTGGCGTACGATGAGGACATACTGCGAGACATAATGAGAGCATGTATCATTATGCACAACATGATTGTTGAAGATGAGCGCCACAACTACACTCGAGCCGAAGTTCTAAGAGCCTTCTACGAAGAAGATCAACAAGAATCAACACCAGCATCAACATCTACAACGCCACCGTTTGAATTCAACGTAGGCCGACCTACCAACTTTGACTTCAACGCATTTCTACAGCGAAAAGCTTCCCTCCGTGACAGAGAAATTCATCTATCTCTGAAACGTGATTTAGTCGAACATATTTGGCAACGATACGGGCCACGTAATTAGGGAGAAATTAGACGACTTAAATAAAGCCAAGTACTATGGCATAGCTACTTTTCCGTACGCAGTCGAGTTATTTTTTAGTTGTTGTGTTTATTTGATTTCCTAAGTTTAATTACGCATGACGTTGCAAATGTAATTGGTTTCTAGTATTGTACCGCTTTTAAAATAAATAAAAACATTTAACAAATTTTGAGCTTTTTTTTACAATTTTTTTATATACCGTACTTAATTTTACGACAAATTTTAACGATAAAGACAAAAATAAAAAAAATAAGTTACACAAATTTAAACTAGTTTTTATTTATTTGGAGTAACATTGTTAAAATATAAATGAAATAAATAAATAAAGAAGTGTTGTGTAGGAGAGAGAAAGTAATGGTGGGGTATTGAAAAAGTAAGAGAGAGAGAGTGGTGGGTGGACATTTTTTTTGCTCACCATTGGGAGAGAAAATGTGGTTAAAATTTGCCCATGAGCAAAATTGATTTGTTGAGAGAGAAAGTGGGTAGAGAGAAAGTGGGTGAGCATTTTTTTTGCTCACCATTGAGAGTGGTCTTAGAATTGCAGAGAGAAAGAACTAAAGTACGAAAGGATAAAAAGGAAAAGGGATTGTAATCTCATCCGTTGATTAAAATTCAATAGACTTTTTTAGTTTTCACCTTTACACTTATTTTTACATATTATATATATATATATATATACTTCCTCCGTAAACGGTTATTTGCAACGATGAGACATAAAGTAGAGAGGGAAAATGTCCCATCGTTGCAAATAACCGTTTACGGAGGAAGTATATATATATTTACTTATGTACTATTTTTTCTATCTATAATCTTAATTTTTTTCCTATGTTCTAGATTTTTTTTCTTACGTTCCAAAAATTTTTCTACCTTTGTTCTAAATTATTTTTCCCCTGTGTTCTAATTTTTTTTTTTTACCTATGTAGTACAAATTGTCCTGTATTATAAAAAATAATAATAAATAAATAAAAGTGAATTAAATTGGTACTCAGTTATACGAGAAAAAAATTGGTTTGAAACGATTAATGACTATGAAAACCTTGTTACAATATACTCTCATACAAACTCGCGTCTCTAAAATAAACAAATGAGACTACGTGGGATTTGAACTCACATTTTTTGTGCATTTGCACAATGCTCTATATGTTGAGCTAGTAGGCTAATGTTATGAAATCAAATCTCTATCATATCGTTACTAGTAGTTGTATGCTTGAATGTGTCTCTGTATCTTATGTCCTATATTTCTATAACACAAATCATTGTATATGTATTTGCATCTTATGTCCTAAATTTGTATGACACAAATCAGATCATTAGAACACTAATTCTGGATTCTCATGGTGATTCAACTGAGCTATGTATACTAGAGCAAAGGGAACAAAAATTATAAGCAATCAAAGTTCAGAAGTATCTAACTAAAGTGATAACTAAAATGTACAAAGTTTACACAATATCATCTAATTGATCAAACCAAACAAAACAAAATCATGAAAAATCCGACAAAACTTCACATAATCACATGAAAAATACATCATAATATAGAGTACTTTAAAAATCATCAATGTCCTCAACCTGATATTTGTCAGACTTCTCGCCATTGTTTAGATGAAAATCATTCACAACACCAAGTACAATAGAACATGAATAGTCTTTAGAACATTTGCATAATAGTTTAGAACATGTTCACAAATATTTAGAACATGATCAATTATAGTTTAGAACATGTGCACTAAAATATGAAAAGAAATCTCAAACATTTAACCATTGACATTAATTACAAGAAATTAACCTGATTGAATAACTGACCTGATGAAGAAGATGGCTTCATTAGATAAACTTTAGGATCCAAAATAAAAAGTGATAAACTTGAAATTCAAAATATAGACACACAATCAATAAAATGCAAAAAAATTAGACTCAATCATTCGATAAAATGTAGCTAAATTAGACTTAATAATTCAATAAAATGCAACAAAATCAGCAAAATATCATCAAGATAAATCGAACACAAGCACAAAATATAGAAAATTTGATAACGACATTGAAAAAACTGAACACAAATTGATAAAATTAAGCCGAACAGATCGAACATAGACAGATAAACTTAAGCCGAAAATATCGAACACAATTGAAAAAATTAGGCCGGAAAAAGCAAACACAAATTGAATAATTTAAGCCAAAACAATTGAACACAAATTGAACAATAAAGCCGAAAAAATGACAAAATTAATAAATAGAACATTATACATTAAATAACCAAAAGTAGAAAAAGCAAAGCAATAAAAAATTGAGCCGAAAAACAAAAAAAAAAAAAAAAAAAAAAAATTGAACATTGTACAACATACTATATGCAATGAAGAAATTCAAATAACAAAATAGATTTTGATGATGAAATTGCAAACCTTACAACAATTTGATGAAGAATTCTGCCGATTTGATCAAAAATAGGCGTGGAGACTCTTAGTATTAGATTAAGAAGAGAGAGAAAGACAAAGAACTAAGGATATTTTGGAGAGAGAAAGTGATACGGGAAAGCTAGAGAAGAAAGAGGTTAGCTATGAAATTTACAAAAACGTCATTACTAAGGTTGCATTTAGGACGTTTAGATCAAATTTGATCAATGACCTTGATTGGTTCTTATATACAAGAGAGTTCTTATATAAAGATGAGTTCTTACCAGAGAATATATATATATATATATATATATATATATATATATATATATATATATATATATATATATATATATATATATATTTGGGATCACGTGAGAAGTGTGAGAAGCAATTACAACCCTTAGGTCTAGAAAATCCAATGGCTGTTATTCAACCCACATCATTAATGATATTATTGGTAATTTTCACCAACTTTTATTGCACAAATAAAAACTGCTCTTAATATCCCACTAATAACCAACGACAATCAAATTGCCCCTGTACTACTTCAACCCTTTCTACTCTGACCACCTGGAAAACAAAGTCCTTGCCATCTCACAAACAAAGTCCTTGCCACCTCACTTGATCGCTCTTTGGCCTCCACAACAACGTACTACTTCTTATTCTGACAAATTGGTTTTCGTGAGGCCGGGTTCTAATGGAAATTTTGAATGATGTTTTTACCATTGCGAAGGATAAAATTTGAGTTATATTGTTGTTGGATAAACATGGAGAATTTATAATTCATATTCATTCAATTGTTTTTGGGAGAAAAAAACGCAATTGATTTTTCTAGGTCCATTTTTATAGAAAATGAAATTGATGTATCTATAAGGTGATTTCAATGTACTTGTATTCTACTTTGAATGTATGTATTATGTTCTTCCAATGTATCTAGAGCTGTTAATAAATCGGCAACTTAACCCCTGTTTTAACCTTTAAATGAAATATTGTAACCTTTAAATTGACTTTTCAAGACTTGTCTCTAAATTTGTTCACTTTATGTCATCCCATTGTGAAGATAAAGTTCTGAGTACAATTTCTTGTAATTTTATTTGACAAGAATCACTCAACTTAAGCACTATGAAAACAGAGCACCTGTAATTTTTAAAATATAGAACATAGCTCAAATTATACGATCTTATGTACCTAAATTTTCTTAGGTGGTTGCTAAAATTATGATTTGGGTATTAATGGTTTAGATGGCTTTGTGTGAGTGCATGATTTAGTATTAACTTAAGTAATACTAATGATAATTTATCTCACCCATTTTACCTACACTAGATTTAAATGTATACTATAATTTAATACCTTTTTTTTATGCATAATATAATTTAATACATAGTGTGTGTGACAAAGTATTAATTTTAACAATGCTCATCATAATTTTGTGTCACTAGATTTTAATGTATCCGCAACATATTTTTAATGTATCTACAGTGTTTTATCAATGTATCCGCAATGTATTACCAATGTATTTGATTTTCTCGCGCTTTTCACGTTTAGGATACTTCTCACCGGATCTCAACCCTATATATATATATATTGAAAAATAAGAAAGGAATGAAGTAACAAAAAAAGAAAAAAAAATGGAAATGCAGGAAGAAACGACGTAGTTTGGGAGGGGGGAGTAGGGAACTTTCCCTAGAGGGGGGTGTAGGTAAAAATTTTCAGGAGCAAACATGGATATGACAATTTTGATCACTTAGCCCAACTGGTTAAATTGTGCCACTATTTTTAGGTTTATACATATTGTCAACATATCTACACCAATAATTCATTTTCCTCATAACATAAGACTCCAAAGCAAGATCATATCTACAACATGTATATTAGAGTCCTTAATTACGCAACATAAATATTTAACCCTTAAGAAAGTCCTTACTTATGTCATCAAATAAGAAACAAGATGTACGCACATATACATAAATAAGGATAAAGTTATTGGAGAGATAACAAACACATCACATATATTTGCAACAAAACATGTATTTTACAAAATTGAATTCAATTTATAAATTTCAATTTGTTTCATAAATAAGGATCAAGTTATTGGAGAGATAACAAACACATCACATATATTTGCAACGAAACATGTATTTTACAAAATTGAATTCAATTTTTAAATTTCAATTTGTTTCATTATGTAGTATTCTAAATCCAATTTTCCCTGAGCAGTTTGGTTTATATTCATTTTGATGTCGGCTTACATATATTTGTAAGAGAAATTTGGCCACTTGCACTAATTAATTTTAGTGGGAAACCAACCTTTTAACGTAAAATTCTCAAACTAGGCCCTGTCTAAAAAATTAAAAATAAAATAAAATTGTTTAATTAAGAGCTTGTGTCCGCCACACTCCACTAGGAAAAAGTAAATCCATTTGATCATTATCCACGCAAAACACAGTATTTTCCCCAAATTAATTATTACATAAATGTCCAATTATGTGCAATATTACATAATTTTATCTTAGTGGAAAATAACCACTAAGACAAATATACAAAAGTACCTCAACCTCCTTCTATATAAAGCTTAGTTCAAAGAGTATGTTTTCACAACACTAGAGCTATCACCTTCATTCTAAGCCAAAATTCTCTCCTACTTTCTTAAACTTCCTTCCAAAATCAACCCTTTTCGAGTTTTTTCCCACATGGAATCCAAACAAACCGTACGCCCCAACACCATCAAGCTCGAAACAATTCGAGGAAACCACCACATGGGTGATGAAGAGAGCCAACACCAACAAGATGTGGAGAAAGAAGAGGACTTGTTTGACTACACGACACGGGCTCAATGGCTAAGAGCCGCGGTTTTAGGAGCCAATGACGGGCTTGTTTCCACCGCATCACTCATGATGGGAGTTGGTGCGGTGAAACAAGATGTCAAAACCATGATTCTCATTGGTTTTGCTGGCCTAGTCGCCGGGGCTTGTAGCATGGCCATAGGTGAATTCTTGTCCGTGTACTCTCAACTCGATACCGAGGTTGCTCAAAGAAAAAGAGATAACATAAGAGATGATCAAAAGGAGGAAAGAGATGAGGAGGGGTTGCCAAACCCTCTACAAGCGGCATTAGCCTCGGCCTTGGCATTCTCGGTGGGGGCTATGGTCCCGCTTTTGTCGGCCTCCTTTATACAAGAGTATAAGGTGAGGGTTGGTGTGGTGGTGGCGGCAGTGACAATGGCATTGGCCGTGTTCGGCTGGTTAGGGGCGTTCCTAGGAGGAGCACCGGTTGTAAGGGCTTCTATTAGGGTTTTATTGGGCGGTTGGCTTGCTATGGCTATTACTTTTGGTTTAACAAGGTGGATGGGGACATATGGCCTCTAATTAAGTTGATAATAATGTTATATAAAAATTAAGGTTTTTGTTTTTTTTTTGTTTTTTTTTTTGTTTTTTTTGGGGAGGTGGTGTTGTAACAAATTAAAATTAGGCTACTTCATCACGTGTTGTACTTACCTTTGTAAGCACCTAATTAATGCTTAGCTTGATAAATGGGTATTTGTGGAAAATTAAATGAGTAAAAAGTTTATTTTTGTTAACTTTGATTAATAAGTGCTTTTAGTTTCATGTGCAACTACTTGAGTTGTGTTTTTCATCACATTCTTCATTTATAATGCTATTCGTTGCCTTCTTTCCAACTAAGAGGTAGGAAAAAAGAAATAAAAACCCCGAAACATACATAACTTGTGGAATTCTATTTTGGATAAAATAAATACTCCATATAAACTGCATGGATACCCTCGTTTTCGTTTAAGAGATACGGGAAAAAATTGTGGAGGTGATCATCCACTTTAGGAAGACTTTGATTATTATAGAATTTTTGATTGAATATATATATCATCCGTTTCTTAATATATACATGCGATGGAAAATATTGAGAAACAAAGGAAGTTTATATATATGATGTGAAAATGAAAATTTGGTTTATCTAAACATATACATAAAAAACGTGTACTGTTTGGCTAACAATATGGTACCATGTAAAACATGTACATGACTTCATTGACTTGCCATCAAAAAATTTCACATACAATAATAGCCCCCATAAGAATTAAGATTGTGTTTTAATCCAAATGGAACCATCATTGCATGAGAAAAATTCAGAATTTTTCATTATTCAAATATAAAAATAAAGATAAAAAAAAACAAAAAAACAAAATGAACATGCATGTGCTCTAATATCTAATCTTAAGGCAACGTTCTATTTAATTTTTTCATTATTCAAATATAAAATTTAAAAATAAAAAACAAACTGAACATGTGCTCTAATATCTAATCTTAAGGAGGAAAAATTCTATTTAATGTGACAAAAAAAAAAATTAATAATAAATGATTTGTAACTCAAAGTCTCAAACCCAACACCTAATAATTTTGCAAACAACCTTTTATATATAGTACGCATGTCTGATTCAAAAATTAGCTAAAGGGCGCAGGCAAATTGGCAGTTTTGGGGCTATTTGATCCCGCTTAATTGATAGGCCAGAGTATTTTCCTTACAAAAATTAGATCCTATTAAAAAAAATCTTACAAGAATTTTTAATATTGATTAAAGATATATATTTGAAAAAATTAACAAGAATAATATCAATTAGTTAGATTCTTTTTTATTTTAATCAAAACTACATTTTAACTTAGATTAATCTCAACTATGTGGGGACCCTTCTCAAAACATCCAAGATGACTTTCAATTTTTAGAATTTTTAGAACAAGTTAACACAAAAAAAAGACTACTTTAAGAACTGTCCTCGCATAATTGAAATTATTTAGAGTTAAAATGTAATTGGAATTAAAATGAAAAGAACCGCAAAACTTAAGATAGTTCCTATTAATTAATTTTATCTATATTTTTCAGACCCGTCTCTACATTTATGATGGGATTGGTAATGGTGTCATCGTCCATTGTCATTGTTGTTGTTTAAAAGGGTACAGATAAAATTAGACACATATAGAGCACTCCATTATGTTGCAACGGCCAAAAAACGAAAAGATAAGCTCTTTAAGTAAATACTAAAGACTTCTCAGAAAATGCGCAATTTTTCTTGGGTGGAAAGTTGATTTGCAATTTTGCTAAGAGTTCAAAGATAAACTTGCGTCAAAGTTAGATAGTGCAACAATATTTTATGGAGGTATCTTGTGGTAGTCGTGTGAAGGGCACACTCCCTTGATTTTAATAATATTAAACGTACCACTAATTAAGGATTTTTAGTGCGTCTAATCCTTGTTGAAATTCCATTATCCAATAAAAACAAGTAACCTTTTTGCAAATGTAGTAAAGTTTAAAAAAGATTAGAAATATTTTATTTGTTGCATAATAAATGAATATGCATTGTTCTATCTTTTTACTAGCAATAATTGTCCACCATGTCTACTAGAATATTGGCTGAAAAATTCAAGTTGTTTACTAGGGTATATAAGTGGTTGTGTTTACACACCTAAATATTAAAAAAAAAAAAAAATAATAATTATAAATGGGGGGAAGATTTAAATAAAATTTGAAGTTTTAAACTGCTTTCTTATCATTTTAGGATTATGTTTCAATTGGAAATCACTTAGGTGAACCTTGACCTAGGTTACTAGGCATATACATAACTTTATGTTCGCTAATTTTTGTTGATTATGTAAGGAACTTCACTCTCGATCATAGTTATAGCAGATGATTGTGAAAAAAAGTCGCCCCTCTTCACTATCCCTCCATCTTCTATATATACGGATCTATCGGAGTATATTGTTTTTGGTTCAGTAAAGATCCAAAAAAACTTATTAATTAAGAGAAGGTTTTGCGTGAGACCGGACTCACTGTGAATCCAAGCCGCTGAAAACGCCGACGAAGAAACCTAGAATAACGAAGATGGTGGAAGTGGTGGTGGAGGAAGACGGTTGAAGTGGGTAACGAGGTGATGATGGTTAGATTTCGATTTTAGCAAGGGTTGATGAAAAAATGGTGTTGTGAGTGTTGACGGCGGACTCATGGTGAGTCCATCTCACCCAAAGTTTACCATTAATTAATTTTTTAATTTAAAAGTTGAGGATTTAAGGCCATGCATATTAAGATGCTAACATGCTTATTGTCAAACAATGCAGGGACCTATTAGAGGGGTTGCCTAGTGTCCAGCTCAGCCATGAATCAAGAGGATGCATCAGGGCAGCAGATCTTTTGGCAAAGAAGTGTAGAACGAATGCTAGCAATGGCTGTAATATGATTACTTTGGACAATTATCCTAACTTTCTAGCTACTGTAATTATGGAGGATAGACCTCCTTAACCGCTTTGTATTGCTGAACTCTTTTTGTTTATCTAATTCTCGGCTTGCATTAAAAAAAAAAAAAAAAAACAAGGCCATGCATATTCTTAGTTTAATTCAATTTTTATCTTCAAGTTTCATGAAATTTAAAGTTTTTGTTTTCATTATGCTTACTTGAGTTGTTGATTGAGTTCAGTCTAATACAAATTGACATATATGTTGATCGAAATTATGGGGTGTCGAAATATATATAAATAATCAATTTTCAATATACAATCAGATGAATCATATCAAAATCACCTTCACAATTACTAATTGCCAATAACTATTTTTATTTCTTGATAGTTAATATTAGAAGATAACATTAGAAATTTAGTTCCCATAAAATAATTGTTAACAAAACACTTTGTAGTTTAAATCAACCTAATTTTTTTTACAAGCAAAATTTACCTAATTAATTAGCCAACTCTTGAGTAGAGTAATGTATTCATTGTATCTTTTCGACTAAAGAGTACATGAATCTCAAAAATATGTTGCGTGCAATTTTGTCATACCCGTAAGAGTGGACAAGGTAAGTTAGTTATTTTTTGGTAATATATAATTCATGAGAAATATATCAATTAAGGACACTCCAAAAATTAGTTGGGTACAAGTTAAAGTTGGAGGATTAAATGAATTAAATAATGGGACCTTCGTGGTGTTCGTGTGGATAACACACTCCTAGTTGATAAAAAATGCTTAAAAGTTGCATTTGACTTAGCTCCTACTATTAATTTGGTGCTCTCACACTCAGCAATCCATCTCTCGTAGGTCTTTTTTCTGTTATTAGTGGAAATTTAAAGGAGTATCAAGAATTTAAGAGAATACATACAATTTACAACAAGGGCTTGGATATATTTAAATATCTCTTTCTTTGGCCTGTTGAATCTTATACCAAAAATTTGGATTACTTAGCTTACATCATGCTTACTAATACATGTTTCAAGTTAGACGTTTGTTATACAGTTGTTATTCGGTTTAGAAATCCATTTCAAAGAAATTGATAAATTTTATAGAGCCAAACTAAAGTTTTGTTAGAGGAGAGTCTGATCACATAAAGAAACTAAAACAGTTTCTAACTTCCCTAGCCTCTCATTCAATCATCAATGTATAATCTCAATTTACATGTAGATTAGTTATATCTTACTCATATTATTTCAACAAAAATCTTCTTGCTAATATAAGATAGATTAAGGAATTTGAATATAAGAATCCATTGAAACACATAAAGTACTTAACCATTATCAAACTAAGACCATTGTTTAAACAATGAAGGAGGCTTTAAGCAAATACATAGATTATTCGGAATAATAAGTACAATTGTGCTTTTTCCTTTGAGAGGAAGAAAAGGGGCTTCACTAAACCTTTGTTGAGCTCCCATGTTAAAAAATGCGATTTGTTCCATGTTAACCATTTAGACAATTAGTTCTTTGAGAAGCTACGTACGTAACTCCATTGCGTGAATTGGTTATACGGTAGAGTAACTACTTATAAGCTTGTAAGTGTGTGGTCCAAACTCTTCCCCTTGTTCTTGGGTATTCCAAGCCCGTTCTCAATATTATTCAAAATATAGTATAACATGATAGTAGAGCCAATAATGTTGATGTTGGTTTTTTTTTTTTTTTTTTTTTTTCCTTGAATCTAAACGCCTGAACTTTAGTATAAGCAATTAGGTTAGAAAGAAATTTACCCCTACAAAATGTCCAACCCCTATATAATGACCACACGATCGATATTGAGTTGATTACTACCTTTTAGACTTTTTTGATCCTCATAACACTCACATATGAGAGGGTGGGGAGAGGAAGCATAAAATACGTGTTGTGAAGTATGGTGTACCTATGAGTTGTAGTACGTGAAAAAGAAAAGATATTGTTTAATCAATTATGCTTGAGTAGATCGTAATTAATCTACTTCTCACATTGCTAAATGATTTGGGATGAAATTTCGGACTAGCTTATACATGGTTCAAATTCTTCTCGTCGTGAAATATCACATAACCCATCCATTTTCAATCAATTCTATAACTTAAAAACCTCAATTACATTGCATGACTAAGTGAAGCTAAGCATGAACAAAGCGTCAAAAGGAGAAACCAAATTTCATTACTTTTCCATTTACGTTATTCAGAAGCATTTTCCATGCAATTAGTTATCTTAGTGGACAAGTATTTATCTTAGTGGACAACTCCATAACCACTTACGTAGTTTATATATTTATCAAATTATTATTAACCTACATCTATAATAACACGGTTTTGAGCCATGTATCAAGCACATTCACTAATACCTTCCAATTCTTCAAAACCTACAATTTTCGAATTCATCAATCAAAACAATAAATTATTTTTCTTCCTTATAAATGGAGCCTGGACGAACCGTGCATCGTAACACCGTTGAGCTAGAAACAATCCGAGCAAACACCGTGTATGATGAAGACAATAATCAAGGTCAAAAACGTGCTGAAGAGGGGGAAAACGATGATTTAGACTACACGAAACGAGCTCAGTGGCTACGAGCTGCGGTCCTAGGAGCAAATGATGGGCTTATTACTACAGCCTCCCTAATGATGGGTGTAGGTGCAGTGAAGCAAGATGTTAAGGCCATGATACTCACTGGATTCGCTGGCCTTGTTGCTGCCGCGTGCAGCATGGCCATCGGAGAGTACGTGTCGGTCTACTCGCAGGTTGACATCGAGCTAGCTCAAAGGAAAAGAGAGAAGAAGGATAATAAGGATGAGGAGGAGAGTTTGCCAAGCCCTATACAAGCGGCATTTGCTTCTGCTCTTGCGGTTGCTGTGGGGGCCGTGGTGCCACTGCTGGCGGCATTGAGTGTAAAGAATCATAAGGTGAGGCTCGGGGTTGTGCCGGCGGCTGTTACGGTGGCTTTGGTGGTGTTTGGGTGGTTAGGGGCGTATCTAGGGAAAGCACCGATTTTAAGGGCTTCTTTGAGGGTTTTGTTGGGTGGTTGGTTTGCTATGGGTATTACCTTTGGTTTAACCAAGTTGATTGGGTCCCATGGGCTGTAACTTAATTACTACGAAGTATTGTTAGCTATTTTTATTCTAATGTAGTCATTAAGAGGGTAGCTTAGCTTACATTGCCTCGCTTGAAAAAAAAAAAAAAAAAACCTTACACTATGTGAGAAATAATAACAATTGGCCTGGACAAAGTTGTATCATACTTGTTTTCTGTTCAAAAAAATAAAAAGTTGTTTTTTTGTTTTATTGTAATCCCTCTCTTCCTAAAAAATTGTTAAAGTTGGTGATTTTATGCAATTATTAAGAAAAATAAATAATATAAAATATTGATTGGATCCCACAAACAACGAAAGGTGTTAAGTCAACATTGGAAGTAATATAATAACATTTACATTCGGAATTGGAAAATATTTTTGTACATAATAATAATAATTTTTTTTGGGGTATGTAAATATTTTGATAAATGGATAATACTTGCATTAAAAACACATTAGACCTGATTATGGGATAGAGTATCCAATAACAATAGGATCATGAACAAGGTTAAAAGGCCTTTAATAAATAGAGTCTTTGATGGATAGAGTGTAAGGATTTAGGTACTCTAAGCAGAATTTCATGAATCATATTCATACGCACCTAAAACAAGATCGCATGCATAACACACAAGAATCATATAATTATATCTTTGGAGCGTGATCTCCACGTAGCAAGTTGATTGACAAATCAGGGAGAGAATAGAGCCCCAAGCGTTGTTCCTCTACTTAGTCCACGGGATTAGAACGAGCTGTCCACCAATACTAGATTGGTCGAGTGAAGGGGAAAACCACGATCACCACCTTTATGGACAACCGGCCACCACCGCACACACACCGGCGCCAAGGAGGGGAGAGAGCCGTGAGAGAGAGAGGGGGAGTTTTAGAGGGTTGGGTCTCGTGTTTGCTAAATTGGGTTTGATTAACAGTAATGTTCTACAAAAAACCCTAGGCGCCTAGTCTATTTATAATCTTATTATAACTAGACTAGGTTAGAAGCCCAAAGCCCTCCAAACCATTCCTCATGACCGGCCACCTAGCTAGAGTGATAAGGCCCATCATGGGCCTCTTCCTCTTATGCTCAATCTAGGCCATTTGTGTGACCTTATAGGATCCGTTCAATTGGGTTTTGGCCTATTTTATTAGCCCAAAGATCGTTAATACCTCTATCTATGATATAACGATGACCCAAAAGAATGAACTTAATTATCTCCATAATTTGATCCATTATATATCTAGTCATTGCACTTGACGAAGAAATAAATCCTTCATAGTGCCCTTAATGTATAGGGTCAATATAGGACTCAAATATTTTTCCAATATAATAATTTAAGAAAATAGATAATATAAAAAAATTACTAGAATATTTTTGCATTCATATATATTTCTTTTTATGGGTCATATCCATACATATACTTAATTATGACTTTGTCATTTATTCTATTTAATTGATAGTTTATTGGCATGTGACCCACATTGGCCCGCTCTGCTTTTGGCCCTATAAAATGTGACTTTCTTTTATTTGTCCTACAATCGGATAAAAACAATGTACCTTGGCCAATAATGTTCGAATTCTACAGTAGTTTCACAATACTTGATCAGATAATCAAATAGCACTATGAACCCCTTCATAGCTCTAAATTTTCCAATATTTGTTTTTGAGTTCTCCCTAAGATGCATGTCCACAAACGACGCCTAGAACTTGGAAAAATTTCCCGAATAGCCGGCCCACCTCCTATTGATCTCATGAACGATTCAAACAACCAAATAAAACTGCCAGTTTTTTCATCAAGAATAAATCCCATGCCAAACATCACAATATTGTTACAATGGCCTAGTGATTCATCCCTACAAATGGGGTACGTATCATACCATACTTGTTGATTTTATAGCTAGTATCAAAAACCATCAAATCACCAAAACATTCATAGTCCCTTTTCATTCTTCAATCCTTCCAAAAAACATAAGTAAGAGAATTAGTTTCATATACCTCAAACTCGTAGTAAAAATCAAATTCCTTAGCTTGCCTATGAGCAAAATATTTGATCAATTAATTACAATCTGAACTATCAAGTCTTGGTTATTTCAGCATCCAAAACATTATATATATCTTTCTTAGTACGCCCAAGGTTCGTTTGGGGAACCACCAACAGCTTTCGTCAAAAGACGAACAGAATTAGTCACTTGCACACCACTAGACTTCATGACACTAATCACCTTCAATTGTTCTTCATTGACTTTTCATTGAGACCTAAGCAAATGTCTCTTATCAATTGGTATCATAGGGTGATTATGCTCCATAACATGCTGCATAACATGCAGCACAACAGTCCATACATCCTGTTTATCAATATTGAACTCAACTAAAGCACCACAATTTGTTCTAAAATCCAACTTCTCAAACCTCCTAACATCCTTCTTAGAATCATACATCCTTCAAACCAGCATTTGAACATACATATTTCCTACTTCGCCAAATATTAGTCTTACCAACTGTTCGTACATTCTCCTTCCTTATAATAAAACCAAACTTAAAGACATAATCATTGTACGAATCATATGCTTGTTGCTTACTTGCAACTTCTTTCCTCATTATTATATTTCAGATTCTTCGGCTTCTTTAAATACAATTGCATTTATACAGTCTGTAATATAAACAATAACAGAGTGTTCATAATCTGGACAGTGAATGTTCATAAGGTAGGGAGGAATGTTTATAAGAAATGTATATAATGAAATGATAGTGTTCAAAAAAATATCAACAAATATCACAAATATAAGGAATGTTCATAACAAATATCAACAATACAATTCATCAATTAAATCAATACTCAGAAAAACCAATCGAAATATTGTAATTCATCAAATTTAGAAGAATGTAAATTATTGAACTTTAACAAATTCATCAAATTATGAAATCACAAAATCAATTAATAAATGCATCACAAAATTCACCAAATTCATCAGATTATAAAATCACAAAATCAATTAATAAAACAATGCATCACAAAATTCATCAAATTGATTCAATTCCTCAAAATCAGAATATCAATAAATGAAAATTATAAAATCAGAAAATCAATTAATCAAATTCATCAAAATTAATTAATGAACAGTGAATTGAAGTTCATCAAAATCATAAAATTATAAAATTAGAAACAATTACAAATTTAGCCAAAAGCTAATGTAATTAAAGCTATAAAAAACACAAAAACTAACCTGCATTGATGATTTCATTAGGCATAACAACCAATTATTACAGAGTGCCTAGGTAGGGTGCGCTGCAAAAATCCAATTATTTGCAGTGCGCCTAGATAGGGTGAGCTGCAAATAGTCCAATTATTAGCTTGTGCATGCTGCAAATAACTCAACTTTTTTTTGCAACGCACACGGTTAGGCACGCTGCAAAGAACAGTTTTATGCAGCGTTTTATGCGCGCTGCAAATAATATCCAGTAATTGCATCGTCCACATATGCAGCGCACGAAAACGATGCAAAAGGGGGGGGGTTTGGGCGCGCTGCAAATAACGTTTTTTCCACTAGTGCAAATCCATTATAATCCAAAGAACAGAGGATAGAGAAAATGTCGAATTATAGAGAAGAAAGAGGAGAGAGAAAATATCGAATGAGAGAGATGTAAAAGGAGAGAGAAAATTGCAATCAAAATTATTGTAATATGAAAGTAAAGAAAGAGAATCATAAAAAAGAAAAGAAAAAATTAAGAAAGAGGAAAGTTCTCGTGGGAAGAACGTTAAGAAATTTTAAGAAAGAAAGGTCCGCTGTGTTTCATTAAGTATTTGGTGCGTTTGAGGGGTGATGCAGCTAGAATAGCTACATAAGCATGCACCTAAGAATTTGTGTCCGACCTACACTCGACTTGTCCAATAACCAGGTCTTATTAAAGTACGTACGTATAAGTATGAGGGAAAATGTGTAAAAAAATATATATAGAAAATAGTCGTAATGCACTACAAAATTAAGTCAATATAGCAACAACTAAAATTTGTTGCTATTCACCAAAAATCCATTGCCAACTCTAGTTAGCAACGGGTTGGAAACGAAAATTTGTTATTGCTAAAAGGCTTGTTGCCATGTGATTTTGGCTACCAGTTGCAAAGCAATTTTGTTGCAATATTGCATTAATTTAAATATAGTTTCTATGATGGTTGCTGTTCTTGGTACATGCGTTGCCAATTTTGGCAACAAATTACCATTGGTTGTTGCTAAAAGTAGCAAAAAATTATTAATGTTGGTTCCTAAAAATAGCAACAAATTATTAATCCTGGTTCCTAAAAATAGCAACAAATTATTAATGTTTGTTCCTAAAAATAGCAACAAATCATTAATATTGGTTGCTCTCAACACTACAACCCGATCCCTTGACTAATTCGAAACCTCACTCGGGTCAACTCGGCTCGGCTTTGCATGCATGTAAGGCTCTTTGAATCCCCATTCTCAAGAATCGCAATTAGTAGGAGTCGATCTTGTGACCTCAAAATCACATGGTGAAACTCTTACCAACTATACCATGTACTATTTGTTTACTTCTATGCACATAATTGATAATAAATGAAAAAAATATTAGAGACGGAATCGAAAAATCTGTCTCTAAATTAGGGACGAAATAAAAAATCCGTCTCTAAATTAGAGACGGAACTGAAATCCGTTTCTATTTGATGTCATTGTAGCAACAAATAATAAGAAGAGTGTCTCCAAATAATATTATACTTAATAGCTAAAAGTGACCTACATATAAATTAACAACAAACTGTAACACAACTTGTTTCCAATGGCAACAAACTAGAATTTGATGTCATTATAGCAACAAATAATAAGAAGAGTATCTACAATGGCAATAAATAAAAATTTCGTTGTCATTAACTGACATTGGTAAATGGCTACAAATAAAAAATATGTTATCATCTAGCAACAATAGTTTAGACGACTTGTTTCTAATGGCAACAGTTTAAAAATTCATTGCCTTTTGTTTGTTTCTAAATCAATACAAATAAAATATCAGTTGCCATAGTTTGTTGCTATATGGCAACAAGACAAAAATATGATGCCATTTAGTAACAACTAATAAGACAACTTGTTTTAAACATCAACAAATCAAAAACACGTAGTCATTAATTATTAAAAAACTAAAGCATAAAATGTCGCTTTTAATTAGGCAATGAAAAAATTATTTTCGTTGCTATTTAGCAACGTTTTAAAAA